GACTTTCTCTCTTTTTTTGTAGACAAATTTTTTTTTTCAAAACTTATTTTTTTTCAACTTTCAAATATAATTCTTATAACTTATCCAGATATCACACAACAAAATTTTGAGTTTGGTCGAAAAATAAAAAAATCTTCATTTTCTTTGGAAGATTATGCGGCGAGAAATGAAAAATTATAAACTTTTATAAAAAAGTTAACAATATTGTTTTATGACAAAAAATTAATATATAAAATATCTCTCTTCGTCTTCATTTTAAAAAAGTGATTATTTCATTGAAAATACAGTATTTTACTGCACATAATTAAGACATAATTTTTCATTTTTTTTTCTTTTGGAAAAATTTTAACGGAGATATTTCACTCTCAATTATTGTGTACTAATCATTTTTTTATGTATATGAAAGAAAACTTTCTCTAAAATATTTCTATATTATGATATTGAAAAAGTAATTATTCTTAAATAGAGCAAAAAATTACTTCGCAATAGTCCTGTTATTTTTAGAGCCTTGATTCATTTCTTTTAGAATTGTGTTTGAAATTATTTTTGATAAAGATTTTAATGAAAAATAATTTTCAAACAATATAAATATTGTCTTCGTAAATATGAAACTAGAAAAAATTTATAATTTTCTAAATTAGCGAATTCTAGTCTTTCTTTTTCTTCTCTTTCTTCTTCTCACAAGTTAACAAATTAAATATTAGAATGTCAAATAAAAATTAATATAAGATTCCGAATAAGTCGATTTAAATGATTTTTTCTCTATTTAAATTTTAAATATTGTATTTTTTTTTTAATTTGAAATGAAATTTAATTTAATTTTTCCAGTTCAATTTATTTCTCTTTAGTTTTATTCTAGTGCAATTAATTTTTTTCTAGTATTTTTTTCCAGTTTCATTTCTTTCCAATTATATTAATTTCTCAAAAATGTATTAATTTCTATAAGACATTCTAATAAAAATTAATTTGAATACGAATTAAAACGAACGAAGAAACAAAACTTTTTAAAATTAAAAACTATGCTTCTTAAAGTGCTAAAGCGATTTGTATGTCCTTTTTTGTTTAGAAGAATTGAATATGTTTTTTTCTTTGAGCGTCCATTTTCGTCTACTGTACAATTTGTTTTTTTTTTCAAGCAGTTTTCTCGTAAAAAATTATAAATTCGGTTTACAAAAATTCTTTAGAGAAGAGAAAAAATAAAAAAACGTTTATCAAAAAGTTCCCCAATAATCGCTTTACAAAAACTCTTTCTTACATCGAACAGAAAAAAAACATCTCTTCCATTTCACATAAAAGAAAAGAAACTATTCAGTCAAAAACTAATATCAAATAAAGTTTGGAAATTCTGAAAAATTTCCAAATCCAAATTTTAGAAGAGATATTCTTTTTCGTGGTAAAAATTCATTTTTTAAAAAGAGTTTCTGTAATTTATCATCTGCTATGGCTTATTTTCCTTTTTTTTTACTTCTATTCATTTTCTCTGGCCTAATGATCTGTCGTAAACATTTCCTTCGATAGTTGGCAATTTACAGAGTTAGTAAATACAGAATTCGATAATTTAACTATCGAAGAAAATTATGGCTCATTGATCGAGATCTTAATTCGTGATTGTTTTTTTTCTAAATTGAGGCGTCTCTTGGCGATATAATTATGTATATAGTTCCTTTTCAGTAAATAATTATCCTGTATTACGAGTGGCCTTTTCTACTTGTTTTTTTTTAAACACTAAAATCGCTTTTACAGTTCACATTATATCAAAAACGATTTACAATAAAAAACAAAATACCGATTACAATTTCTTTTTCTCACAAATCGTATTTCTAATTAATAATTAGTAAATATTTTTCCCTGTATTTATAAAATACATTTCATTTACCATAAAATGTAATTTTACCATTTCGAATGTAATTTTTCTTCAAAAAATAGAATAATAGAGAAAAAGAGAAAAATTGTCTTGTAATCGGCATTTTATGAAAAATGAAACTTAATATCTAAGTGCGACGATATTTTTTTTGAATTGTGTACATGTAAATCGTTTTTATCAAATACAATCATTTTTCTAGTTTTGGATATCTCGCCTCTCGGTTTTTTTTTATTATTTTCTTTTCTTTTTTAGTTTCTAGAAAATTGTCAACTATATAATATTAATCATGAAATAGAACAGGGGTTTATAATCTATGCAATATCGGCTCTTAATACGCTTTATAACGATTCGACAAACGATAACCATTATCACTTTTCTTTTACACGTGATATTTTTTTCAGACATTTCTCAATATTTCAAATATTATTTTTTCTTATCGTCATAAAATCCATTCAATTTTTTTACGTATTTACGACAATAATGTCGTCAATGGCTTTACTGTTAACCAGCGTCAAACAATGTCTTTCGATTTTTTTTTCGCAATTTTTTTCCTCCCTCACACACTAAGTAAAAAACTGCTTTTCTTTACAGGAAATTGCATAACAAATTTTTTGATACAGTTTAAAAAAAATCTATTTTCACAAACTGTATAAAAAACATTTTTATACAAAAAATAGAGAAAAGAAAATGTTTTTTAACAGTGAGCGAGAAAAATTCTTTTTTACACATAAGAAAAATGTGTAGAAATAAATTTTCCCCTAAATGAAGAAACAGGACATTTTTTTCAAAAGCGATAATTTTTTTTTTATCTGAAAATGGAAAAAAATTTTCAGACAATGTTCGAATTTCTAAAATACAAAGAAAAATGCTATAAACAACGTAGTGCCGTAGCAGTGTTGCTAGGAGATATCATTCATCCTCTGCCACACCCACAGCCTCAAAAAGTTTATACAATATAATCGTGTATACAATATATATTTATATATTTATATTTATATATATTTATATTTTATATATTTATAATATAGCAATAGACTATATCTACTCGTGTATTTTCCGATTTTTCTTGCAAATATTTTTTTATTTTTTATTCATTTTTAATAATAATAATAATAATCGTAATCATGTCATTTTTTTGACGCAAAAAATCTGTTCGCAAAAACTTGTCAAAGTAGTGCGAGGAAAAAAAAATGTTCCATGCTTTCGGCAGTAGTACCATTTTTTTTAAATATATATAATATTGTATATAATAATTTAGAATTGTGCTGCAAAGTTTAGAGCCATCAGTGCGATTACAGCTGCGAGTTGACATATTTCAAAAATAAAATTCTCATGTGAAGATTATAAAATAGAAAATAGATCAAAAAGTAAGTTTTTCACGGGAAAAAAAATATGTTTAAAATATTTTTTAAAATGTTCTTTTTCAATGTAAAAGAAATCGCAACAAAATTTTTTGACTTCGCACTCGGTAATTAATTTTTAAAAAAAAGTAGCTTTAAAACTGAAGAGAAGTAGCAAAAAAAGTGGCTATTGAAAAATAAAATTTGACGTTGAAAAAAACTCGTTTTAGTCGATTCAAAAAATTTATAAAAAGTTTATTCTACATTTTCCTAGACTTTTTCCTGATTTCCATGAAAAATATTCACTTTCTATCTTGTCGTGGAAATAAGTTTACTTCTAAATTTTTCTAAAATTCAATAATTTTTCCATTTTTCAGTTAGAATTCTACAAAAATTCTACGATTACAAATTTTGATTTTTTGAAATTTAATTATCTGAAATATTAACTGAAATTTATTTTTCAATCAATTCTTATCAGAAAGTTTTACAAGAATTCAATTTTTTCAATAGAAAAATTAATAATAATCGATAGAATAATTAATTATTTCTTAAAATTAAATTCTTATAATGAATTTTATCAAAATTTTTGAAAATAATTGAAATCCTGTGAAGAATTTTATTATTTATAAAAATAATTGAATTCTTGCAACTAATATTATAGAAATCTGTGAAAATAATTGAATTCTTGCAACGAATTTTATTGAAATCGTTGAAAATAATTGAATTTTTTGGAAGAATTTTATTATTTGTAAAAATAATTGAATTTTATCAAATTTTTTGAAAATAATTGAATTTTTTAAGAAGAATTTTATTATTTGTAAAAATAATTGAATTCTTATGAAGAAGTTCATTAAAATTTTTAAAACTAATTGAATATTTTAGACATATTATTAAAGATTTTGAAAATAATTGAATTCTTTCTTAGAAATTTAATTAAAATATTTAAAAATAATTAGATTCTTATGAACAAATTTTATCTAAATTTTTGAAAATAATTGATATCTTTTGAACAATTTTATCAAAAAAGTTTTCAAATAACGGATTTCGTTATAAAAAATTTTCTTGAAAATTGTATTTTAAATAATTGAATTCTTGCAAAAAATTTTCTTTATTCTTAAAATGTTTCTAAGAATTTTATTTAAATTTTTTATAATAATTTCTTCTTTATTTCAACTATTAGAGGATTTAAAGTATTGTAAATTTTCGAAAAGTAGAAAAAAGTGTCAAAAATGTAAAAAAAAGTATCCAAATAGTAGAAAATCGTGAAAAAGTAATAAATATTAGGTTTCAACAGATGAGTGCGAAGCCTGAGTGTTAGAATAAAAAAAAAAGATTTAAAATATACGAAAGTTTGCAATTTTTTTCTTCAAAAAAGAAAAAAAATTACAAATAAGTTTTAGAACAAAAGAGAAGGAAGATTTTTAATATTTTAAATCTTTCTTTTTTTTATTCAATGAAAGTTTGTAATTTTCTTTCTCAATAAAAGTAAATAACAAATTTTTCAAAAAAAAAGAAAGACTTAATTTAATTAATTAACAAAAATTTAATATTTTAAATCTTTCTTTTTTTTTGTTCTATGAAAGTCTGCACTTTTCTTTTTCAATAGAAGTAAATAATAAATTTTCCAAAAAAAAGAAAGACTCAATTTAACTAATTAATAAAGATTTAATATTTTAAATATTTCTCTTTTTATATTATGAAAGTTTGCAATTTTCTTTCTCAATAGAAGTAAATAACAAATTTTACAAAAAAAAAGAAACTTAGTTCAAAAAACACAAGAAACTTTGTATTTTTACAATAGAAAATTTTCAGCATTCACGAAGGAGTTGATTTACATTTTCATACGAAGAAAGAACTTTGCAAACTCGTCTAAAATAGAAAACTTCTTCACATAAGAATAAAATAATCAGATACAAAAAATCAGAAGAAAATCTGATATTTTAATCAGAAAAAAATCTGATACGATAAACAATACAAAAAAAAACTTCTGATTTAAGAATAAAAAATCAAAAAAAAATAATCACAGAATATTGAGTTGAAAATAGTTTTCTGGCAGCTCGATAAGATACAATTATTGTGTATTCAGTCAAAAAAACAAATAATTGTGATTTTTGCATCGTCAATATCACTTTAGAGAAATTAAAGTGAATTACGATCGGCTTCGAGAAAAATCTCCATGAATATGTGCTCATGAAAAAAAAAGAAAGAAAAATCTTTTCTTTTTTTTTGTTGAAATTATTCGCTCTCGCATAAATAGAGATGGAAAGCATTAATTTTCTTTAGAGATAATCGAGAGCATGTTATACCCAGGAGTCTCCTGCGGACACTGCTGTTGAATTCGGGGGTACGTTTACGGTGGCAGCAGGAGTTTCCTGTACGTTCACAACACCCACTCCCACACCGTCACCGATCCATTGTGTGCCGGTGCTTCCGATACCGACACCCTGCACAGCTCCGACCGGGGCCCCCTGCACTTGGCCCTGGCCCACCCCCAGCTCATACTGCCGTTTCTTTTTCTTCTCCAAGTTAACTTGCGCGTACAGCGGCTCACCGGGTTTCGGTTGCTGCAACACACAGGTCAACGATTAGTACTGTGCAAATTTTTTTTCTTTTTTACATTCTCACAAAAACAGGAGAAGGCATTTTTTTTCATAACGAACGTGAGAGTGGAGGGCAGAGAGGGGGGTGGGTCTTGGGCACTAATTAAATCCAGGGGCCGCCAATCACTCGATTAACAATTCACTTGTTACGTTTGACAGTCAAAAATTTTCCCTTATTTCCGATTTCTATTTATTTTTTCCTTTTTTGTATTTTTTTTTCAATAAAACTTTTACGTCCGAGTTGATTTTATTAAAATAGTACACAGTATTTTTCTCTTTTTGTATTTTTTTCTATTTTTTTCTACTTTTCTGTATTTTCAAAACGTTCCGGAAATATTCTCAAATTTTGTCAATCCTTTTTTTTCATTTTTTACTATTAATTTTTCTATTGACGGAAAAAGGAAAATTTCGTATTAAATTAGTTCGGTTTAATGTTTATTACTATAAATAATAATAATAGAAAAAGATAATTTAAAAAAACGGGGGAAATTAATTATTATGATTTTCTTCCGTGTTGATAAATTTTGTAAAATTTAAATGATAAATGAAACGTATCAAGTGATTGTAATCAAGACAAATGATCTGAGCTGCGTTACTCGCCTGACCATGATTGTAAATAAAATTATTATGCGAAATAATCATTTTAAGAATAATTATTAACTCAAAAAAACTACTATAAATATTTCAAAAAAAAAAATCTTAAATTCTAAGCATTTAAAAGAAAAAATTTCTTATTACTTAATATTCAGTAGAATAGAACAGAATAAATTATTGTTAGATTGGTTCCTTTTAGGAATAAATTTTTCTTTAGTAAATAAATTCAAAATAAATTCAATAAATTCAAAATAATATCAAAATGAATTCAAAATAAATTCAGTAAATTCAAAATATTATCAAAATAATGCCAATAAATTCAAAATAATGTCAAAATAAATTCAAAATATTATCAAAATAATGTCAAAACAATGTCAATAAATTCAAAATCAGTAAATTCAAAATAATGTCAAAATCAATTCAAAATAAATTCCAAATAAATTCAGTAAATTCGAAATAATACCAGAACGAATTCAAAATAAATTGAATAAATTCCAAATTAACACCAAAATAAATTCAAAACAAATTCAGTAAGTAAATTCAAAATAATGTCAAAATAAATTGAGTAAATTCAAAATAATATCAAAATGAATCCCAAATAAATTCTACAAATTCAAAAATAAATACAAAACCACAAATTAAAATCAATCATAATCGACTGATTAAAAATGTGAGATAATTTAAAAATTATTCAATAATATTCTCTACCATGTATATTTTTTTTCCATAATTTATTGCCATTTTTTTGTGTAAATAACACTGGTTTACAATTTCGCAATAGCTGCCATAATTCTTACAAATAAATATATATTTATTCTACCATAATTATATTATAATCCATTAAAGAAATCAAGAAGATATTTTCTTAATAGTATAAAAAATCCAAACACCAGTCAATGTATTTGTAATCACCATTATTTATAACTATTTGGCACAATACAATAATATATAAAAAAGATTTTCTCTTCGTTAGGCTTATTGGAAGTTCAGAAAAATGCATTCGTCTTAACGGTGAATAAAAACCTGATCTTAATTTAATTAATTAAACTATTGCCCGAAAAATTAATTAAAAACGATATTAATAATTTAATTTGATTAATTAAATTATTGCCCGAAAAATTAATTAAAAAAGAAATTAAATTAAATTATGCTCTTTAAGTTCTGAACGTTCAAATAAACGAAATTTAACCTTCTTGAAATTAAATTTTTGTTACAATAATTTTGCGTCATTATAAAAAAAATAATTTTAAAATAAAACTATAATTATCCTTTCTTATAAATGTAAAATTTAAGTTTTTAGTTTACATTACTAAATTTATGAAAATTATTAAGAAATTTCGTTCATTTGAACCTGAAAAACTTATGGATCATAAAGTAATTAAATTAATTGAATTAATTCAAATATTTAATGTAATTTAATTTAAATAATTTACAACAAAGAGAAAAACAAAAACAAAAAGTTTTCATTAAATTAAATCGAATAATGTACTTCTATTGCAAAAAAGTTTATCTATAAAAAATAAATTAAAATAATAAATTCGATGAAAAAAAAAGAAAAATAGTAAACAAAATATATTCAATTTGTCATTAAATTAACAGTGATTATTAAAAAAATAAAATGCAACATTAAATGTCTTAATGTTTAAACTTTTAAAGAAAAAGCCATTTATAATAAAATCGGTTGTCTACAGCTTTAAATACCTCAATGTATTTGAAAGCAAATAATTTTGCCCCGGGGCAATTAATCATTTCCTCGTTTCTATATTGGAAAAAACCTCGTTTGGTCCAAAATCAATTCATTTCCCTTCAATTCGTAACAAATGACGATTAGTATATATTTTTTTGTAAATATTAAACCAATTACCCTGATATAATATTTAGTTTAAAATATTATATTTAAAAAAGAAAGATTAAAGCTTTAACAAAAAAAAAAACTTACTTTCCTCTAACAATTATTCTCTACTAACAATAATATTATGCTTTATACTAAAAATTAGTAATCTTTCACTGATAACTTTAGTATTTCTATTATATATATTTTTTAATAATCAGTAAATAAATATAATAATAAAACACGAATTCCCTTCACTTGCAAAAAAAAATTGACTCAATAGTGAGAAAAAACAAATTGAAACTTTGAAATCAAAAATAATATTGAAGACTAAGTTTGCTTTTAGCAAATTTTTTCGTAATAAATAAAAATTATAATTATTAATTATAATTCTCAATTTGTATAATAGTGGAAAATTAATTTTTAAGTCAATGTGTTCTCTCTCACTCTCTCTCATTCTTTCTCTCTCTCGCTCTCTTTCTCTAAATTCTCTCTTAATTCTCATACTTTGTCAACTTTTCTATCATAATAAAAAGCTTCGAAGGCTATTACTTTCCGTGCATTGCGCTTGGAAGAATATTGCATTTCTAAGAGGAGTCGAAGTTCTCATTAAAATTTTCTCAAAACTCAACGTCTGCATTTTATAGGCCACTTGGATTGAAACTTTCAATCAGAATACTGAAACTTCAGGCCGCTTAGACTCATTGCTTTCGTTTTCTATAATAATTATTTTCACAATTCTTCGTCAACTTTTTAATATCATAATGCATAAACAATTAACATCGTAATTATTTGTTTAAGAGAATTTCCTTTAACGAGTTAAATGTTTAGTTTATCATTTTTATAATTAACAGTAAACCGGAAATCTATATTATTCCCTCTTTTACTGCTTTTCAATTATAATTTTCGTCAACAGTTGAGAAAATTTTCTCCTAACAAAGATTTTCTTTATAAACTGTTAAGAAATTTTTTTCCGCACATGAAAATTTTCTATAGATTTTTCCAAACAGAAAATTTTCTCCAAACAAGAAAATCTTCTATAAACGATTAAGAACATTTTTTCAGCTCAGGAAAATTTTCTATAAACGGTTAACAAAATTTTTTCCAAATAGAAAAGTTTCTATAATCGATTAAGAAAACTTTTTTTCGCTCAGAAAAATTTTCTGCAAAACGTTAACAAAATTTTCTCCAAATAGAAAATTTTCTATAAACAATTGAGAAAATTTTTTCCGCGCAGGAAAATTTTCTGTAAACAGTTAAAAAAATTCTTTTTGTAAGCAGTTAAGGAAATTTTCTTGTTAACATGTAAGTAAGTTTTTTTTGTTAACATTTAAGGAAATTTTCTTTAATAGTGCGTGTTAAATTATGTTAAACATGTTAAATAAAAAAAAACAATTGAACTTCGAAATACTCTTAGCAATTTTCTAATGAACAAAAAAACAATAAATATATATGTAGTGCATGCTTGCAATACAAAGAATTTACTTTTTAGTGCCATTGTCATATTACAAATGACAATTTAATGTTATTTTTTCTTCTTGTTCTTTAATTGACTTAGTTTATACACTTTCATAATCATAATACGTAACTATCACTTCACGTATACATACAAAGATTACAAACGTTTTCATTTTATTTCGAAAGTTCCTACTTGTTTATTATTTTTTTCCATTTTTTTTCTTCTTTTCTTAAACTTTGAAATACAAAGTTTACGATAGAGTATTATAAACAAATAACATATATATCGTATCAATAATACTTTCGTGTAAATGTTGGTGTATATGTAGTACCTTTTATAAAAAATTTATCATTCTATACATTAGTTTTTTGTTTATTTGTATTTTTTTTGTTGCTTTTTTAAAAATTGTTAATAGAAAAAAAGTGACGGTGATAATAAAAAGAAAATTTCCTTTTAAGTATTTTTTTTGTGTGTTATTAATAATGTAATTAATGTATGTATTAATTAAATGTAGATTATTCGATCATGCAAATTGCAAACTTCGATTAGTGCGATACACAATTGCTACCATGTAAAAAGATTTATAATCCCACATTAGTGTCACTTTCAATATTTTTTTCAAGCTCTTTTTTTGCAATGCTCTCCGCTCTCTGTTTATTAATTTTTCGAAAATATAAAAAATTCTGCGATACTATCAAAAAGGAAATTTTTTTCGAATCTCAATTTAAAATACGTGTGCGTTAAATTAGAATTTGTGTTAGTGAAAAGCAGCAAAATAATTTGTTTCAATTTTTGAGATATCGAAAAAATTTTATTCGCGTTGAACACTTTTTTTTAACAAAAAATAAATCGATTCATTTTAAAATGCTTCTAAATTTAATTTTACCTCACAGATATTTGTTATTTTTGAATTGTTAATAAACAGCGTTTTTTCCCCCAAAAATTCCAAGAGCATCATGAATAATAAAAAAACTAAAATGTTAATTACAAATGCTATATTTTCATTCGTAAAATGCAATTCTTTTTTTCCTTATAGGAGAGATTAATATTTAATTTTTGCGCTCTAAGCAAATGTGCCTAAAAAAGCTTTGTTGGTGTTTTTAGTGTTTTTTTTACGTTGATAATTGCGCAAAAAATCATTTTGTATTTTTTTTTTCGTTTTAAAGTCTAGTGACTTACTGGGTTGGGAGGAAATACGCAAACGCCTCCAGCGGGTGGTGCGTGTGTTCCTTGTTTTGGATACTGCATATCAGACATTGCGATCTCCTCGTTTTGCTGTTAAACATAGATCGATATTTTCTTTTTCAAGTTTTTTCAAAATCAACTTGATTTATCAAAACCGCATATTCTTTTCTTCATTTTTCTTTTTGAATTCGCGCAATTGCTTTGCATTTTTTTTTAGTAAAAATCTAGTTAAAAATCTTTTATTTAATTGCGCGATGAAAATTATTTAAAATAGTTTGTGATGATTATTTAAACAATAATAATGCCCATTATTAAAATTTTGGCTCGGCGAGTAACAACTTGTTAATCATTTTCCCCGATCGTTAAATTTCTCTGACACTTAAACAATAATTATTTTAAAATCATACAATTTTATATGTACGATTTTTTTCAAATTTTGAATTTAATTTCAAATTATTAAAAATTAATTTGTAAATTCACTTTTTCTTCAACTGATAATATTTGCAAAAAAATAATTTAATATCAGGAGAGAAAACTACTGAGAACTTTTTTCATTGGAGAAAATAAAAACTGAATTTTTTAATAGAAATTAAACGATCCCTTGCGTAATAGTGTCAACGATAATTTTTAATAAAAGTTTGTTACTTTAGTTCATCTTTACTTACAGACTGATAAATGGTGGATCGTCCGACGTTGTTGGAATTGGCGTTGCCCCGTTGAATAGTACGATCTTCGTACCTAGTGCTCCCTTGACTTGCCATTGGTCGATTCAGAGTGCTGCATTCATAACTAATTTTAACATAGAATCAATGTTTCGAAAAAAAAATTATCTTAGGGACTCTGTGCAAAAAAAATATAAATTGAATTTTAACATTTGCGCATGAAAATAAAGCACAGAGTCTTGAAACTAAACAAAAAGGGAACAAAAAATTGACCGCGAAATTATTCATAATTTAACAAGAAAAAAAAGGAAATAAAGTATCGAAAAAAGGAAAAAGCAAAAAATAATTTTTAAAATGTTTAAATAATTTCAAAATAATAAATAAAATAAAAAATTTAATTAAAGGAATAAATACCTGTTTGCATTGTTTGGTGAATTAGGTCCGGAATTTCGAGCAGCGACTGTTTTCGTCACGAAATTCTGCTCCTTCCAGCCATGCTTTTTATAAACGTCTCTTAATTCTTGATGCTGCCACATTGTGTAGAGAACTTGTCCTAAAAAGAAATTTTTATTTAGATTACGAATGATTACATTACGTACAAAAATAAAAAATAGAATGTAAAATATATAAATTAAAAAATCAAATCAAATCAAAAAGTAAAATAAAATGAAATGACAAAATAAAATAAAATCAAAAAGTAAAATAAAATGAAATGAAAAAATAAAATATAATCAAAAAGTAAAATAAAACTAAACGAAAAAGGAAAATAACTAAAAATAAAATAAATATTAGTGACAAGAATGCGATATAAAAAAAATAGAAAGTCTGATTGAAAACACTACCAGCAAATTTAAGAACTCGTGGCGTATATTTCTGTCGCTGCCTGGTGATATTCATGAGTCTTTCAACTCCCCCGGCGTCGAGTAGGGACCTCGAAAATTCAGCATTCTTCTTAATAACTTCATTCAAAGTTGCGAGGACTGCAGCAATTGTGTCATCGCTTGTTCCTTGATCGTGTTGATTATTTCCCGAAGGTAACTTTTGAATTAAGTCTCTCATTGCGTATTTGCCAATAAGTTCCTTGTTACGTTGATCTATTGCTAAATTTCGAAGTGCCGTCGCGACTGCACAAACCACTCTGTCAACCTGCGAAGGGGAAAATTTTCCTTTTTCAATTAAATGCTCAATTTACAATTTTTTCGTTTTAATATCAATTAATAACACTTAATCATAAATAATTAGTCGGAGGATTTATTTTGATATCCAATAAAAATTAAAAGAAAATACGATAAAAATTGAAAGAGAATTCGATAAAAATTGAAAGAGAATTCAATAAAAATTAAAAGAGAATTCAATAAAAATTGAAATAAGATCCAATAAAAATTAAAAAAATAAAATTCAAAACAAATAGAAATGAAATTTCAAAATGAAAAAATTGAAAATCTTATTTTTCTCTGATAATTACAGACCTCCATTCGTAAGAGTTCAACAAGAATGGGAAGTCCCTTTTCTTTTCGAACTGCAGCACGAATTTCAATGCTGGGCTGCCAATAGCAAGCTGCAAGATTTTGTAGAGCTCCAGCTGCCGCCTCGAGAGTTTCGGGATTCGAACATGATTGTAAAAGGCTCAAGTACGATTGTACTACTTCCGGTTGCCAAAGTAATTCCATCCCTTTAACTGGCTCTGTTCGTGGCGACGTTGTTCTCACAGTAGTTGTTTCCTTCTGCACCGGTTGTCCATCCTTCTTCTTTTTACTTCCGCCAAAACAACCCAAATTCTCACCTGAAGCAAACGAAAACAAAATATTTAACAGCTATTTCTTTCATTTGATTTTTCTCCCCCAAAAAAATATATTTGCAAAATATCACGAAAAACCTGCAAATTCTTCTTTAAAAAAAAAATTAAAAATTAATTAGAATAAAAAACCCTAAAAAAGCTGATACGATGGAAGCTTTTTACAAGAAAAAAAAATGAGATCTCAAAAGTAGAATTTTTATAAAAACAATAGAAATAAATGAAATAGAATTAAATTTCAAATTGAAAATTATTTCAAAAATTTAAGGAAAAGTAAACTTTTTATTGTATTAATAATACGAAGTACTTTTATTTAGCGTAAGCAATGCGTTTTATCAAAAAGTGTTAGCGAAAAAAAGAGAAAAGAAATGAGCAATAGATATCAATGCACTCAGTCAAGGAAAAAAAATTGTGATAAAATACTACAGAAAAAATGAAAAAAATACACTACAATTACAAGATTATCTTACCTTGACACAAACTGTACGCTAAAAAGATTGAAACAAAATTTAATTTTTGTGTCGATTTAAGACACATTTCAAATTTCATTTGAAAGAAAGAAAAAATAAATAAAATCGGAACAATACTTCCCAAGACATTTTTCCTATTCAATGATTAAACACAGCCAAAAAAAAAAATTTAAATCTATTTGCTCAAATTTCTCAAAAACATAGCACATTTCTTTTCAATTCTTAGAAATTCGATAACATTAATACAGTAACACTCTTTTCATGCTCTTTTTACAACAAATTAAATATTACAAAAAAAAAATTTTACACTTATTACTAAACAAATTTCTAAAATTTGTTTTTTCAAAAATGCTCAATTATCACTTGTCTTGTTAGTGATTATTTTTCTTAAGACAATAAATTTTTCTAATCAGAATCGTTCTCCATATGCAGACTATTTTTTTTTTAATATGTTGTTAAAGTTCACAACCTCAGGGTTGCCACAAAAATTTGATTTCGTTTTTCCTTGATTTTTAGACAGAATTTTAACTTATTTTCAATTCTCCAAATAAATTTTTTTTTTAAATTCAGTTATTTTTTTTTAAATAGAACTTAACGTAATTTCAATTATTTCCAACGAAGAATTACTTCAAAAAATCACTAATAATATTTTTTAACTTAATTATTTTAATTTAATTTTAATTAATTTTAAAATTGAAAATAATTGAAAAAGTTATTAAAAATGTTAGGAAACAAAAAAGCAATCAACAACTAACTTTAAACTTATAGAAAAAGACTATTAAATTAAAATTCCTCGAAAATTCGATTTTTTAAAATTTTTAATGAAATTCTTTAACAAAATTAAATTCAATTTGAATTTAATTTAATTTCACAAACTTTCACAACTTTTAATTTAATTTCACAAAATTTCTTCATTAATTTGATGATTCTACAATGAATTTTTCTTTAAATTCAATTATCTTTAAAAAAAATTGAATTGACGAAAATAAAATGTTTTCTAACAACATTCGAATTTTAACGAAATATAAAAAATTGTTGTTTATTTGAAAGTTCAAATCTTTAGAGACATAATTTAATTTAATTTAATTTCAAATAAATTTAGGTTATTTAATATAATTTAAAATAATTTTAATTATTTATCAGACTAAGAAAAATTTAAGTCGTTTCAAAATTCATTGCGATTCAAAAGTATTTAAGTTAAAAAAAAATTCATGGAGGAATTAAGTTTTTTGTTTTTCAAAAACATTTTTGAACACCAAAAACATATTTTTTCTTAACAATTCTAGAAATTGGACATTTTTACAGTACTTTTGTGAAAAATATCCTGTCTTTTCCTTGACCAATTTCAATTTCCCTTACTTTTCGCGAGTTGTGGCTTCCCTGCAATTTTTATAATCAACAAGTTTGAAGAAATACTATTTTTCCAGTTAAATTTATTATAAATTTTTGTTTCAAAATGTTCCACACACTCCTTTTCTTAAATTGAAATCAAAATTGAAATCTATTTCAAAAAAAGAAAAATTTTAATCTTCACGTGAAAAATATTTTTTTTTTTCAATCGTTGATCATAAAACGTAGTGAACTTTTCACTAATATTAAAAAATAAAATAAAACATTACAAAAATGAAACTATTGAGAGAGAAAGAGAAAGAGAAAAAAATAGCTCACCTTTAGTTGGTGCCGCTACCCTGTTTTGTACAGTGGACTGAATAGGATGTTTATCGTAGTTTGGATCTTCGACTTCCTGGCATCGATAACTCAAGTTTCTCAGAATGCAAACACAATTTTCCACAATTTTGTTTCCAATGTTCGACTTCTCAATGGCTGATCGTACAACATAAAAAAGTGCATCGACAAGACCTTCGCATTCACGTAATTTTTTCCTCGCGTATTCACCAGCACTCGAAACATTCCTAAGGACACCTGAAGCATTTCTGAATACAGTTGACCAACAAGTTTCACCACTGGAAGAACTTGGATCCCAACCGCTGTGTGGAATAATTATATTATTCACCACCATCGTCACTCCGTCGTCAATAATGGACCGCTTCAAATCCTAATGAAAAAAATGCATCTTTAGTAAGAGAGAAATAAGAAAAAAAGGAGAAATGAAAAATGAGAATGGAAAAAGAGAATGAAAAACGGAAAATAGAAAACAATGAAAAAGATACTAAAGTAAAAATTATGATTACATTACCTCGCAAGAAGACAAATTCCATAGGACACCAGTAACTAGTTCTTTAACGTCAGCGTCGGATGTTCTACGTAATAAATTAATCAATGCTGGTACACCGCCAGCATTTTTTATGGCCCGTTTGTTTTCGTCATTTTGCCGGCCATAAGAAAGATTTCTAAGCGCTCCACAAGCATTTCTATATACGTCAGGACTATCATGATCAAGCAATTGTACTAACGGTGGAATACCTCCCAAGCTGCGTGTCTTCTGTTTATTTGGATCGTCCATATAACAAAGATGCTGCAAATATGCAGCGGCATTCGCTTTGATTATATTATTCGGATTGCTCAGAAAACCAATAACTTCAGATAAATTTGGATCTCGCCATCGTAACGATTTTTGATCATCGTCCAATGGACTCGCCATTCCCGGTACAACTGGATGTCGCGATTGAAGCCGTTGAAGATGAACGTCATCCTCGAACATACCTGGTGGAACGCCACCGCTCAATGGAACTGGATGGCCCTCCTCATAGCCAGGTACGTCGGCTGGCATTGGCACTGGTCCCACTCCAACATTCGGACTGTAAGCAACTGGGCCATAGGGGGACGGAGACACGTAACCGTAGGCCACTTTTCCCTCATCTGAAAATCGTAATTTTAAAATTTCAATCATTTTCATAAATACAAATAAAAAAAAATGTTTTACTTTAAAAAAATTAAAACAAATAATTATTAAAATAAATAAGAATCAAAAAAATAAAATAAAATAAGAGTTGCCACAAGAACTTGATTTTTCCCTGATTTCCAGATAAAATTTTCACATTTTTTCTGATTCCTATTAAAAAAATTCATGATAGAGAATTTAATTAGAAAAAAAATTTAGAAGTAAAAATTTGATTTAGAACTTTAAGGGTGTCTAACTATTTTAGAAATAATATTAGCAACTGTGGCTAACTTCTCTCGATTATTAATAAAATTTTCAATTCTTCAAAAATTCAATTTTCAAAAATTGAAACAGAATTTTTAAAAAGTTCAATTATTTTTAAAATTTTCAATAAAATTCTAATAACATTCAATTATTTTTAAAGAAATTTTAGGAAATCACAAAAATGTTTAATTACTTTACTATAATAATTCAATTATCTTCGTAAAATAGAATTTAAATATTTTTAAGAAATTTTTCAAAAGAAAAAAAAAACAAAATCTTGTAGTTTTCTCTGATTTATATTTTAAAAAAATTCAAGGACAGTTTAATTACAAAAAAATTTAGAAGCAAAAATTTGATATAAAATTAAAAGTATACCTACACTTGTTTTGAAAATAAAATTAGTTCAAATTAAAATTTATTAAATTATTATTTTCGAAAATTTCTATAAAATTCTCAAAACTATCAATTACTTTAAATATACTTTTAAGAAATTTTACTTACTTCATTGTAATAATTCAATTATCTTTATAAAATAAAAATGAAATATTTTTTCAGAAATCTAATTTTTCAGAATTTTGAATGAATTTTTTTAAAAGAAAAAAAAACCAGGTTCGAAACGAAAACTTATTTTGTTTTTTTTTCTGATTTCCAGATAGAATTTTACTGTTTTCTCTAATTCTAATAAAAAAAATTCACGAAGAATTCAATTTAAAAAAAAATATTATTTTTAGAAGGAAAAATTTGATTTAAAAATAAATAAATATATTTATTTATATATAAATATATTTAATAATAAAATTCAATTATTTTTAAAAGAATTTTGGAAAAATTCAATTATTTCAAAAATTTCCAAATTCAATTATCTTTAAACAATATAATTGAAATATTTAATAAACCTAATTTTTCACAATTTTGAATATATCTTTTCGAAATGTAAATTTTTTGAAAAATTGTTTAATTTAAATCTTCCAAAAGTTTCAATTATTTATCAATTATTGAATTAAAATTTTGTAAAAATAAGATTTATTTTTTAAGTCTCTAATGAAATTTTTTTAAAAAAATGTGTTTAAAAATCCAAATAAGTTTAAATATTGAAGTAAAATTTTTCAGAAACATAATTTTTTTAGAATTATAAAGAAAATTACATAAAATTTAAATAATTTTTCAAATAAACATTTAATTGTTATTAATTTTTTTTTACAATAATTTTAGTTTAAAACCTTCTAAAATTTAATTATATCTGAAGATTACAACTATTTTAATCTAAATTTTTTTCTGAATAGATTAAAATTAATAACTGTATGAATGTAATTTTAGACTTTTTAATTTATTTAGAATTTAAAATAAATTTAATTATTTACAAAAATTATCAAAAATTCCAAAAACTGACTTTCTTAAAATTCAACATTTTTTTTCTCTTTTATGGCATTTAGCTTCATTATTTTTGGGCTCTTCCAAACTAATTTACTTATTTAATAGTCTCCACCCTTTGACAAAAAATTTAAAATTATCAAAAATTCGAAAAACCGAATTTCTTAAAATTCAACATTTTCTCTTCTTTTTTATTGCATTTAGCTTCATTATTTTTATTATTTAAATATCTTATGTCAGAAACAAACGATAATAAAAATCTTCTAAAAAATTAAAATTTTTGTATAAATTTTGAGAAATTTGCCTGACTTTCAATGAAATTCTCTGACATTCCCTGACTTTTCCCTGACTTCACGAACTTTCCCGACCGTTAGACACCCTGATTTGAATTTTTGGAATAATTTCAGAAAATTCACATTTTTCCAGCACTTTTGATAAAATTCCCTGATTTCTTTGATCAATTATTTCATTTTCTCTGAACTTTCCCTGATTTCCCTGATTTATGGCTGAACCTGATTACAAAAAATGTTAATAAATTAATGGAGAAGAACAAAAGACAGGATAAAAAAAGAAAAATAGAAAAAAAATCTCCCAACTAGTAATAATTAAATTAATTCAAACGGAAATTAATGGCAATGAAATCGATATCAATACCTCCATGAGATAATAATTATTGAAATTTCGCTCTTCGATGAAAAACTATGAGAAACACATACCGTATTGATCTCCAGGACCACCCGGGCTAGGTGTAATACGATAATTATCCTGCAAGGCTGGATTTAATCCAGGATCTATATCATTGTAGCCGCTTTCAACATACGGAGCTCCTTTCCGTAAATATTCTGAAATAACAATATTTCTTCCATTAGCAGATATTAATAGAAGACTAAAAGAACAATAAAAAAAAACTCTTAAAAAATCTACTAAACGAAATTCGTTACAAATTTCTTTACATCATTCTTTCTATTCTTTTATTTTTCAATTGTCTTTTTAAAAATGAAGATTTAATTTATTTCTAAATTGCTAAATTAAAATTTAGAAGAATAAAATAATATAAAAATTCAATTCGAACATTTTTAAAAAAAATTTTTTATTGCCTTTTTGAAAGCTAAATGTTCAATTTTTTCTAAATTGCTAAATTAAAATTTAGAAGAATAGAAATTAAAAAATTAATTGAATCGTGAATTTCAAAAAGTTCTCAACTCTAAAAACCATAAGCGTCATTTTCACACAACAGTTGATGACCTTTTCGAGTTGAGTCCTTTTTGAAATTTAATTTACAAATAAAATTTACTTTATTTAAGATAAAAATAAAAAAAAAATTACCGTGCGGCGTAGGAGAGGCTCGACTGTGTTCGGAAGGACTGTGAGGACTGTGAGGTGAATGCGATCGTTGCATATAAATCCCATGTGGTCCAGGATATCCCGGTTGCGGTGGATATCCAAGATATGGATCGTAGTGATCGAAACTGACCATGTAAGGATCAGCAGCATATCGAGGATCGGTGTGCTGATATTCTTGTGACATTAGAGGAACTGACATATAACTGACGGCTCCTGGATCTGGATCCATGTGTGACACTTCTCGTACAACTTTCGTCACGGTTGTCACCTGAAACAAAATTTATTTTTATCATTTTACAAAAATAGGGTTGTCGACAAAAATTTAATTTTCTGTTCCCCTGACTTTTCCCTGATTTCCAGACTTTTTCCTGACTGATTTTGACTTTTTCCCTCACCCTAAAGAATATTCTATTGTTATATGCAAAATAATTTCTCTTCATACGTATATTACATGTATAACGAACTATATATATTTTTGTATCATATGATCTCTTCTTAAGATCTCTCGACTTTTGTTTATATGATGTCGATAAGGTTCGACTTGTGGAGTCGCTTATGGGATGACAAATACAGTACTGTAACGTTAGTCCCTTGCCGGCTCTTGTCTTGTGAAGACTTCTTTAAAATACATTTTTGACTTTGCTTAATTACAATTAACTATCTTTTATTTAACCTGAACTGCTTCCCGTTTATTTAAATTCCAATAGGTTATGGGCCCAGGCACATAATAAGTGACAATAAGTGCTTTTGGGTATTTTAGTGTTTTAAGTGACAATAATAGTTTTAGTGCATTTTAGTGTATAGCAACTCTAGTGACAATGAGTGCGGACATAATAAAAACGAAACGGAACATCAAACTATTCAACGGTGAAAAATATAGTATTTGGAAATTTCGTGTTCGTGCACTAATAGCTGAAGAAGATGCATTGCAGGTCCTTGACGAAAATAAACCAAATGAAGTATCAGACGAATGGCAAAAACGTGAACGTATCGCTAAAGGTTCCATCATTCAACACCTTAGTGATTCTATGATTGGATTTGCAACTGAACAGGATACCGCTCGACAAATATTTAAAAAACTGGATGAGATATACGAAAGAAAGAGCCTGGCAACACAACTGGCTGTTGAAAAGAAATTACTAGGTTTTAAACATAAAGGGGACACTCCGTTAACAAATCATTTTGTCGAATTTGATGAAATGATTGTCGAATTATCAGCAGCAGGAGCAGTATTAAATGAAACTAGTAAAATTGCAAGACTATTACTCACACTTCCGAATTCTTACGATTCTGTTGTCACCGCGATTCAAACACTTTCGGACGAAAATTTATCCCTCGCATTTGTGAAAACTCGACTACTGGACTATGAAATAAAAGTGAAAAACGAAAGTGGAGAAACAAGCGGAAAAGTTTTGCAGGCAGCAACTCAGCAAACAGATAAAAATCGAAAACATTCATCTGGCAATCAAAGAAAGTGGAAAAATCCTAAATCGCATTCCAAAGGAAAACCAAATTATCATCGAGAAAATAATTCGAAACATTCACATTCAAAATACGGAAACCACAATAAAAATGCTATTAAAAAATGTGATCATTGTGGTAGAAGGAATCACGAGAAAAAGGATTGTTATTACTACAAAAGAAATTCACAAAATCAAGAAGAACGACAACATACTATTCAAACTGTTCAATCAAATGATAACAGAAGTTTCGCGTTTGTGAGTGATACCGAGAATACATTAAACATTGCAACGAGTGATTCGAATAGATTGACATTTCTGCTTGACTCCGGTGCTACAGATCATATAGTGAATCAACCAGACATATTTACAAACATCACAGAATTGGCAGAACCTCTAAAAATTTCCATCGCTAAAAAGGAGGCCTCTATCACCGCTTCAATGAAAGGAACAATCAACATTACAACAAACTTGGGATTTAAGGGGCAACTAAAAGATGTCTTATATGCACCTGATGTACCATATAATCTTTTGTCAGTTCGTAGAATCCAGGAAGCTGGAATGAGAGTTACTTTCTGTGAAAATGGAAAAGTGACTATTGACAAAGATGGTAAGAATATTCTTATTGGTAAGTCCAGAAACAATTTAATATGTGTAGATTTTATAATAAATAAAAGCATGTGTAATCAAGTAAGAATTGATAAAAACGTGCAATTAAACACATACGAATTATGGCATGCACGTTTAGGCCATATTAATAAATTAAAATTTTTAGAGATTAAAAGAAATAATCAACTTCCTGATTGCCAACAATTAAAATCCATAAATCCCACAGACGAAATATGTGAAGCTTGTGTATATGGAAAACAAGCTCGTCTCCCTTTTTCAAAGAGTAAAGATAGGGCTCATGTAAAAAGACCATTATTTGTTGTTCATACAGATGTTTGTGGTCCAATTACTCCCTCAACTATAAATGATAAAAATTATTTCGTAACTTTTCTAGATGAGTTTACTCATTACGCGGTTGTTTATTTACTTTCTTATAAATCAGAAGTTCTCACATGTTTTCAAGATTTTGTTGCTAAATGTGAAACACATTTCAATCTGAAAATTGCTCATTTATATTGTGATAATGGGAGAGAATATTTGTCAAATGACTTCAAATCGTTCTGTGTTAATAAGGGTATACAATATCATTTAACTGTTCCACATACTCCACAACAGAATTCTGTTGCGGAGCGCCTAAATAGGTCATTGACCGAAAAAGCACGTGCAATGATACACGGAGCAGATTTAGGTAAAGAACTCTGGGGTGAAGCTATTCTTACGGCAGCATATCTGCTTAACTTAACCCCTACAAAAGCCATAACAGACAACAAAACACCTTTTGAACTTTGGCACAACAAGTTGCCAAAATTAAATCACTTAAAAATTTTTGGGTGTACTGTTTATGTTCACAATAAAACGATGAAATCTAAGTTTGATAAAAAATCATTCAAAGGTATTCTTGTTGGTTATGAACTAAGTGGCTATAAAGTTCTAAATGTGGAAACAAATAAATTCATCATTGCCCGTGATGTAATTTTCGATGAAGTTAATTATAAAACTTCACGACCACCCTTATATAATAAAGAGATTGAATCAGAAAATCTCAACACAAAAAGAACGAAAACTGATCCTTTGTTGGAAATCAGTAATAAACAAGAGAGTGATATTAACAAGTCTGTAATAGAAACAGATAAAGTTAATATGTCGCCGAACCCTAACATAAACTCTCAATTGGAGTCTGACATAAACAAACCGCGGCGGAGCGCAAGAATTAAAAACATGCCTTCTATTTCTTATGAAGAAGTAAGTAATATTACTGAAAGTTTTTACACGTGCGCTCAGTCTGCTGTTTGTGACACTCCAAAATCATATACTGAAATAAAAAACCGTGATGATAGGCTTCAGTGGGAGATGGCAATGAAGGAAGAAATTCAATCTCTTTTACAAAATAATACCTGGACTTTAGTACCTTGTCCAAAAGATAAAAATATCGTTGATTGTAGATGGACATTTGTTTTAAAACACGATGGTTACGGGAATCCATCAAAATATAAAGCAAGGGTAGTTGCAAAAGGTTTCAGTCAACAATATTTATTAGATTATGATGAAACTTTTGCACCAGTCGCGAGAATAACAACTTTTAGAGTATTAATTGCTATCGCCAATCAATATAATTTGTTAATCCATCAAATGGATGTTAAAACAGCTTTTCTTAACGGTTCATTAAAAGAGGAAATTTACATGCGCGTTCCTGAGGGGGTTGAAACTAATAGTAAAAACGTGTGTAAATTAAATAAAGCGATATACGGTTTAAAACAATCAGCTAGATGCTGGTTTGAACGTTTCGATCAAGTTTTAAAACAACACGGTTTTGAGAACTCCTCGGTAGATCGTTGCTTATATATTCTCGACAAAGGACACATTAATAAAAATATTTATGTAGTCTTGTATGTCGATGATCTCATAATTATCACTTTCGATAAGAAAACTATAATTAGTTTCAAACAATATTTAATGAAACATTTCTCCATGGTTGATTTAAATGAAGTACAATTTTTTCTGGGAATTAAAGTTGAACGAAAAGAAAATACAATCACCTTAGATCAAAGTGCATATTTGCAAAAAGTTTTGCAAAAATTCAACATGAAAGACTGTAACAGTATTAGTACTCCGTTACCACCAAAATTAAATTATAAAGATTTAAATTCGGATGATCATTATGAAGCACCATGTAGAAATGTTATTGGTTGTTTAATGTACGCGATGTTGTGCACGCGTCCCGATTTATGCGTTGCAATCAATTTACTCAGCCGTTATCAGAATAAAAATAATAAAGAACTTTGGCAATGTTTAAAAAGGGTTCTTAGATACGTTAAGGGGACATTAAATTTGAAACTAATTTACAAGAAAAGCGATTACAAAGAAGTATTGATTGGTTATGTTGACTCGGATTGGGCAAGCAATGAGAATGACCGAAAAAGTACCACAGGTTATGTTTTTAAATTGTTTGACCAAAATACTATTTGCTGGAATAGTAAAAGACAAAATTCAGTGGCTACGTCATCAACTGAAGCTGAATATATGGCTCTTTATGAGGGCGTAAAAGAAGCTTGTTGGCTTAAAACACTTTTACTAAGTGCAAAATTGCAAATTTTAAAACCAATTACAATATTCGAAGATAACAATGGTTGTATTGCTTTAGCCAATAATCCTACTGATCATAAAAGATCAAAACATATTGATATTAAATATCATTTTTCTAGAGAAAAGGTAGAACAAAAGGAAGTAATGTTAAAATATATTTCAACAGGTAACCAACTGGCTGACACATTCACAAAGTCACTACCAGCTGTTCAATTCCAATCAATCCGTCTCAAAATTGGACTGGAGGAGTTCTAAATATACTAAGATGAAAATTGAGTTCATACTGGAGCCTTGAAGAATTCATCTGTAACAGTCACCTATCCTCAAATTTTGTATGCATTGATATGATTCAACAAGAATGTAATTCAATATTTTTTGTTTGGTCTGATTAGGTTTTATCTGAGGTTTTCCTAATCCTTCGCAACAAATGTTGGGCTTTCTATGTACCTCAGTGTCAAAATGTAAAACCGTGTAATTATTTTGAGTGGGAGTATTGTTATATGCAAAATAATTTCTCTTCATACGTATATTACATGTATAACGAACTATATATATTTTTGTATCATATGATCTCTTCTTAAGATCTCTCGACTTTTGTTTATATGATGTCGATAAGGTTCGACTTGTGGAGTCGCTTATGGGATGACAAATACAGTACTGTAACGTTAGTCCCTTGCCGGCTCTTGTCTTGTGAAGACTTCTTTAAAATACATTTTTGACTTTGCTTAATTACAATTAACTATCTTTTATTTAACCTGAACTGCTTCCCGTTTATTTAAATTCCAATATATTCTAATTCACTCTAAAAAATATTAGATACTCAAAAAAAATTTCTAAATACATTTATTTGCCAATTTCTTTAAATATAAAATTATTCGAAAACATCAACTTCATTTTTAAATAAATATTTAATTATTATTTTTCCGTAGGAATTTAAATTCTTCAAAACATTCAAATTCAAACTTTTTTGAAATTCAACAACTTATATTAAGAATATTATTACAAAACAAGAAGATATCGATTAGTGATCGGTATCTTCTTGTTTTGTAATTTAAAAAGTAAAAAATACTTTTTGAACTGTAAATAAATTTGAATTAAACGAAAAAGACAATCATTAGATGAGAAATTTACTACATACTTGTTGTGAGGTTTGCTGCTTATGAGTTCGTATAAGCAGTGGATCATCCTGAACTGATAAATGCGATGAATGCAGGGAATGTGTATCAGCCTGACCATTACTTCCATGGTAGTCAGTCTCGCCTTGTCCACTAAAATAAAATTCATAATTAAATTAATTGTATAAAAAATAAAATGCATAATTACTTTGACAAAAATATGTCGCACAATAAAGGGAAAAAATACTTACGTATATTGCGGCATGTCGGGGCCTTTATCTTGTAGAACGCGTCTGTAACAAGAAAAGCAAAAATGTAAAACAAGAAAAATAGATTTTTCCAAAAAAAGACATTTTTAACAAAATTAAATTTGAATGATTTAATTATTAAATTATAATTTAATTATAATTTCTTAACTAAATTAAGATTATAATTTACTAATTAAATTACGACTAAAAATATATCTACCGTAACTAAAAATTGCGTTTACACTGATTTTATTTCCATTTTTTCTGAATTAATTTTTATTTAAAAAAATCAGAAAAGCAGGAAATTAAAATATTAAATTAAATTAAATTAAAATATTCTATAAAAAGTACTACCAAAAAAAATGGAAGTACCATAGATATAAAAAATTGATTTTCTATTTACTTCTATAAAAAAAATCATTAATGTAAATAAAAATTTTTGTATGCAATAAAAATAGCGACAAAAATTAAATATCAACATAAACAATTTTTTCATTCAAGCTCTAAATGTTAGCAAAAAAAAAGAAAAAAAAACACAATTCACTACAATTTTCAATTCAATTTTCACTACAAAAACATGCTTTTCTCATGAAATAAGTCTTTTCGTATCAAATATTTCTTCTTTTCTCATTTTTCTCTCCAATACAAAACGTTAAAAAAAATCCCCATTTTATTAAAAATTAAAAACTCTTTCAAATTGCAAAAAAAAATTTTAATTAAATAATTATATTAAAAATTATTTATAATTTAATTAAAAATTAAAAAAAAATTTTTTATAATTTAATTAAAAATTAAAAAAAAAAATTTTATAATTTTATAATAAAAATAAAACAATACTTTCTAATGAAAAATTGAATAAGAAGAGGGGAAAAATATTAAGCGTATATAAATTATTAATCTGATGAAACGAACTGTCAGATGTTGACAATTTAAATTTATATTACCTACATATTAATAATAATAATAATATATAAAATTTATAGGGAGATTAATTAAATGTATAGAAACTTTAAAAGAGAAGATTAATTAGCATACACTTGAGAAACTTGTTTGCAATTGGCCTTCAATATTGTAATCGAATGTGATAAAGCATCGATTAATTATAAAGAAGCTTATGCTGCATTTTTGACGGATTGTACAGTTGCAAATATTTGCATTATATACCTTCGCTTGATCACTAATTTGAATACTCATGAAATAAGCAGGAATGTTAATCGATTTTCACATTATAATTTATTTAATTTTCCATAAGTCACGTTTCGGAGATAAATCTTCAAAATTTATTATTATTATTATTTTTAGTAATATGGAAAATAAATTATTGTTCCATTAAGAAATCTGTATAAATATTGACTCTATAGAATTTTTATTTTTATTATAATCTTTGCTATAATCTTTTTATTATCATTTTTTTTATTCGATCACTATTATTATTATTATTTTTGTTCTTTTATTTTATTAATTTTATTTTTTTATTAACAATAACAATAATATTTATAAGAATAAAAATATTTTTCTTTCGTTGAATTATTATTTTTCTATTTAAATTTTTGTTCTGTTAATAATAATTTTTTGTAAATAATAATAATTTAAAAATAATAATAATAATAAAAATAAAAATAATAAAAATAAAATTATTATTTTTTCCAGCTTTCCTTTTTTATCCTTTTAAATTTAATTTTATTATTATTATTTTTTTTTAATTACATTAAAATTGTGTACTAAAAAAATGCAGCAAATTCTTTTTTATTTTCGCGAATAATAGTGTAAAGTTGGATATTAAATTGAAAATCAAAGAAAGATGAAACGTATGATCTAATAGTTGAAGTAGGCGAGTTAAAGTACTTGAAATTACATCATTGAGATTGAATTTATAGAGTTCAAAAGAGATACAGAGGATGAGTAAGATCTTTATAATGATACATGATACTATTTAAGTGATATATACGACGTTGAGACTCTGGGGAATTTTTTTTCTTTTTTTTTATATTTATTATTAGTTTTTTTTCATAATACCTCTATTTAGTTCCAACAATTCAGAAATGGCTGCAGAAAAGAAGAAAAGGTATCAGTTTTCTCATCATCCAGATAAAATGTACTTAATCTGCTTTACAATAAATTGCTAGAAAACTATTTATTGTTTCAAAGGAGTAATGATAATTAAAAAAAAATTATTCCTTCACAAAATCTGCGTTACACTAAGAAAAATAGAATTTTTCTTTTCACTGTTCGGAAAGTTTTGAAATATAAAATTTAATATTGAAAATATTTGTAAATGTAATTTAAAAATTATAATTAAAATATATTCTTTACTATAATAGAATTTTTCGTTTGAAAAACTTAAATTTTCAAGAATAAAATTTAATATTGAAAATCTGTATTCGCAGGTAATTTGAAAATTATAATTAAAATATTCAAAAACAAAAATTTAAATATTCAAAAATAAAATTAAAATATTAATTTCAATCAAGCAGAAAATATTTCAAAAATAAAATTGAAAATTGAAAATCTGTAATCACAGGTAATTTGAAAATTAGAATTTAAATATTCTTTACAAATAGAATTTTCCTTTTTTTATGTTTAAAATTTTCAATAACAAAATTTAATATCGAAAATCTATATTCGCAGGTAATTAAAAAATTAAAATTAAAAATATTCTCTACACACAGGATTTTGTTTTACGTTTAAAATTTCCAAAAATAAAATTTAATATCTAAAATCTTTATACAATCGCAGATAATTTAAAAATTAGAATTAAAATATTCGAAAATGAAATAAAATTAAAATATTAATATATTAATTTCAATCAATCAAAAAATATTTCAAAAATAAAATTTACTATTGAAAATCTGTATTCGCAGGAAATTTGAAAATTAGAAATAGAATATTCTTTAAAAATAGAATTTTATTGTCAGATTTAAAACTTCCAAAAATAAAATTTAATATTAAAAATCTGTATTTGCCGGTAATTTAAAAATTTTAATTAAAACTTTTAAAAATAAAACAAAATTAAAATAGTAATTTCAATCATAATCAAAAACTATTTCAAAAATAAAAAATAATATTGAAAATCTATATTCGCAAACAATTCAAAAATTAGAATTAAAAATAGTATTCTTCACAAATTATTTTCTTTTCCTCAGATTTAAAATTTTCAAAAATCAAATTTAATACAGAAAATTTTTTTCCACTCGCAGGTAATTTAAAAATTAGAATTCCAAAAATTACAATATTTCCAAAAATAAACTACTTTATAAAAGTGAAAAAAAAATTTTCTGAGTGTTTTTTTTTTTTTAAAGACGAACAATTTTCTAAGACGCAAAAATGTAAACTAATCACTAAATTCCATGCAGAGATTAAACACAGCCATGCTTTTGATACATGAAATGCCGATAAATAAAGTGAAAAATTCTAATCTGGAGGAAACCAGGTGGCCTAGCAAAAAGTAATTAAAATATCCTTGAACTAACAAATGAATACAAGAATGATTCATGAGCCATCTAAGGAAAGAAAATAAACAGAGGCAAAAAAAAAGAAGAAAAGAATGAAGAACACAAATACTTTAAAAGGGAACAAATCACGATTTAATTTAAAATCACCTTTGTGTTATTTCAGTTCTTGTAAAATTGTGCTCCTGTCTCTGCTCAATCCTTCGATTCACGAGTCTTTTTTTTTTTGTTTGCAAAAAAGAAATATTTTATTCTCAATTAATTTTTTTTTTAATTTTTCTTTCCCTTAATTTCTATAATTAATTTTTTTTACAATAATTCAATATAATAAATTTTTAATTTTACAATTCCATTCACATTTTTAGTGATTCTTTAGCCGTGACTTTTGTAAATAATTAGTTTAACTCTTTAATTCAGGGTAGTTATTGATCAGACGTCGAGACGACTCGGTCGTAATTATTTGATACGAAGCGTATATAGAGTCAGAGAGTTTATACGCCAACATTCATATATATACAAATGACACAAGCCAATCAAAATTAACGAATTTTAAAATCGATTTAATAATTATTTCGATGTTAATTAAATTCAGTTTGTTGTAAATAATAATAATAAGGAAATTTTTTCAGCTTAGCAAAAATAATTAATCTTTGATTCGAATTTGTGCGCCGTTTTCCTACTAATTAACAATTTCTCTAAAGTTTTGAACTTTCAAATAATTACTTATTTTTTAAATTCAAATCTATGAGATTTTTGCAAAATCAAAGTGGTCACAAGTTTCAGTTTATCAATTTCCCTGACAGTTTACTGACATCAAAATTATATTTTCCCTGCCAAATTTTTTCCTACAGGAAAATATGAAAGTTTACGGAAAATGAGTAAAATTTATTAATTTTGATAATTTCTAAAAAATTACAATTATAACTATACCTGAATTCAATTATTTTCTACAATAAATTTAACTGAACTTCATCCCTAAATCAACTATTTTAAATTTATAAAAGAATTAGTTTTTGAATTTATTATTTAATTTATAGAAGATATTTTAAATAACTTTCCGAAAGTTCTTCTAGAATTCAATTATCAGGGCTCGAACCAGTGAAAGTATTTAAAAATACGGACTTTACGGACCAAAAATGAAAAATTACGGACCATTTACGGACCAATTACTGACAAAAATATATAAGAGAACATTTTACTTAAAACTATAAATTAGATTTTTTCATAACTAAAAAACATGAAGATATCGATAACTCCGAGTCTTCGACTCGGAGCGATCGATTACTTCATGTTTTATAATAATTAAAGATAGAATGATAAAATCATTATCAATTCAATTATTATTTTCAAGAATTTTTAACTAAAATTCTTCTTAAAATCGATTTTTTTAATAATTTTCGAAAAAGTTCTTTGACAATTTTCAAATCCATTTCTTTACAATATTCAATTTTACGAAATTTCAATTATTTTTAAATTCTTCAATTAAATATGTACTAAAAAATAAAAACTTCAAATAATATAAAAAAAAATCCGCAATTAAAATTTCTCAAAAAAATTAATTCCACAGAATTGTTAGTTAAAAATATGAAAAATTCAAATTTTCAAAGATTTGAATCTGAAACCTTTTCAAAATTTAATTATTTTTAAATCAATTTTTATGAGAAAATTCTACGAAAATTTCATTATTTAAATACAAAAAAAAACAATTTATTGAATAATTACATATGTTTCTTAAAATTGAATTCTTTTAAAGAATTGTATCAATCAATTTTCAAATAATTTGAATTCTTTTGCAAAATTTTATTAAAATAGTAGATATTAAAAATAATTAAATTAGGGAAAATTTTTGAAAATAATTAAAATTTTGCCAAGTAATTTATTAAATGTTTTGAAAATAATTCAATTTTAGAGAAGAATTTTATTATTTATAAAGATAATTGATAATTTACGCAAAGAATTGCATTAAAAATTCTGAATGCAATAATATTATTCTTTAAAGAAATTTAATTAAAAATTTATTAAAAATAATATTTAAATTGTAATAAATAAATTGTAGCAAAGGTTATTAAAATAATTAAATTTCTTTGATAAATTTTAATAAAATTTTTAAGAATAATTACATTTTTCGAGGAATTCGATTAAAATTGTATTAAAAATAATTGAAATTCTGCAATTAGCTTTATTATTTATTAAAATAATTGAATTCCTAATAAGAATTTTATTATTTGCCAAAAAAATTAAATACCTGTAAAAATTTTATTATTTATGAAAATAATTGAATATTGCGAAGAAATTTATAAAAAAAATTTGTAAATAATGAAATTCCTGTAAAATTTTTATTATTTTTTGAAAATAATTAAAGGTTTGTGTAGAATTTTAGTAGATTTTTTTTAAATAATTGAATTCTTTTGGAAAATTTTATTAGAATAGTATAGATACCTATTAAAAATCATTGAATTGAGGAAAAATTTTGAAAATAATTGAAATTTTTCTAAGAATTTTATTAAAATTTTTGAAAATAATTGATATTTCGGAGAAGAATTCAATTATTTCTAAAGATAATTGAAATTTTGACGAGAATTTTTAAAAATTTTTGAACATAATTGAATTTTTGTGAAGAATTTTATTACTTTTGAAAATAATTGAATTCCTTCAATCATTTGTAATTTCTCTAAAATTATCCAAATTATATCGTATAATTTACGTACTTTACGGACCTTTTTCAATCGAATTACGGACTTTACGGACTTTTTTTCAAAAAAACGGACTTTTACGGACTTGAAGCAAAGTTACGGACTTTTACGGGATTTACGGACCTAGTTCGAGCCCTGAATTATTTAATTACAAAACCTCAATTTTTTTATTATAATTTTAACTGTCCATGTTTTTTCCTTAATAAAGAAATTCTTCCAATTAATTTTTTTAAAACATTTTAAAATAATTTTTGAAAGATAATAGTTTTTTTAATTATACACAACTGAAAAATTTCCAAACAACTGAAATTTGGTAAAATCATTTTAAAATAATTAAATTTTTTAAAAATATAAATAAAAATAATCAAATTTTTGAAGAATTTTAATTATAAATATATGACCATGACTTCTTTGAAATTTAAATAAGTAAAAAAGTAAATTTTTATTTACTTACTTATTTACTTTGTTATTATGATAAAACAATTCTAATTTTAAAAAAAAATTTAAAATAAAATTTAATTTTCAAAAAAGTCTAATATTTTTTTAAAATATTTTAATATCATTTTTCGAAAATAATTGAATTTTTTAAAAGCATTTTTGTACAATTTAAAAAATTACTGATTTTTGGATGAATTTTAATTAAAAATTTTGAACACGATTTTTGTCTCCAAAATGTTAAAAATAATTCTAAACTATTATTTTTTGTATGTATTTGAATTTTCGGAAATATGTAATTGAAAATACTAAAAATATTGAATTTTAAAAAATTAGAAGCTAATTTTTATTTTAAATTTACATTTAGAGTTTTTCCATTAAACTTTTTGATAATTAAAATATTTTCAAAATTTGCAATTAAAATTCTTCGATAGTTGAGTTTCTATAATTGTAACCAAATACTTGAAAAAAATTAATTTTTTTCAAAAAATTTTTAATTATTTTTTATTTTAATTTGATTATCTTAAAAAATGATTCAAAAATAATTTTTTTACTAAAAATTGTGGTTTTTGTTGCAATATTTGGAAGAAAATTTGAAAAAAGTCTCAATTTTCTTAATTTCCTTGACAAAAAATTTTTTTCCGATCATTTCTCTGACTTTACTTTACTGACAAAAATTTTGTTTTCCTGACAATTCCCTGACTTTACTGACATGTGGCTACCCTGAAAATGCAAAATAATTTTTTAAAATAATTATACTGACGAAATAATTCTTTCATTTGAAGTTAAAATTTTTGGAACCTTATAAAATTATTCACAAGATTCAAAACGCTCAAAATGAACGAAATCTTTTTTTATTCAAAAATATTTCCACAAATTACTGATTGAAAGAAAAATTAAAAACCTAATTTTCTATTTAGAAACTTTACAATTAATTTTTCTTGATAGTGACAGAAAAATTATTTTAATAAAAATTTAATAGAAGAAATAAATAAATTTCGTTCATCTGAACGTTGAGAACAAAAGGTTCTTATTTTTCCCAAAGATTTGAATGTTCAACTGAACGACAATTTTTTATATTTCGACAAAATTTGGAATTTTTGTAGAAAATATTTTTTTTTGTTAATTTAGAAAAAAATTTTAAAAAATATTTTAAAAATAACTAGAAGAAAATTAAAAATAAAAACATATTTGTAGAAAGAATTTAATTTTAAATTCGTTCTACAAATATGTTTTTATTTTTAATTTTCTTCCAGTACTTTTGAAAATTATTTAAGAAAAAAATATTCGTTCAAAACTTTAGGAAAATAGGATCTTCTTAATAAAAAAAAATTACTTTAAAATTATAATTACAATGAAAATCTAATTAGTGGAAAATTAAGATAGAATTTTTTTTTACAACGTTAATGAGAAAACACAAAAATGCCAAAAATGCGTAACAAAAATGATCAACTCAAAATGAAGAAAAATGTTAAAAATTCAGGTCATCGATTATTTTGTAAACTGAAATTCTGTTTTTTTTTTACTATAAATGTAAATGTGAGTAACAAAGAGTTGAATCAGCAAACGTGACAGAAATGAAAGCTTTTGTAAACGTACATATTCGACGAAAAAAAAAAATCAGAAATATATATATTGATAAAAACACTCTCGGCATGTTTTGAAGAAACAGCATTTTTTTATTTTATTTTTTTTTTTGAAAAAACAGGAATTCTTGTCAAAAACACAAAAAAATTTTTTTAAAATAAAAAAAAATATACTTACAAACAAGAGTCAACCAGCTGATTGTTTGACATACCAGCTGACCTTCGACTGTTGTTCTCAGCTATCGGGCAACTTCACCTGCAATAAAAAAAAGACATTATAGTTTTAAAATAGTTCTTTTGGTTCTTTGTAGAAATCGTCAATATTTACAATAATAATAGTATATAGAGAATGGTAGAAATTATTTTCCATTTTGTATTTATATCTTTAAATATCCGCTTGAGGAACTTTTATAATTATTTTTACTTCCTCATGAACAATTTATTTTGTCTATTAGGCGATAGAAATTGACGTTTTTTATTTTTAGAAAAACGGAAACATTTTTCACTTTTTGTTTTCTATTTTCTGCCAATTATAAAATTATTACGATTATTATTATTTTAATGACTTAACCGCAACAGGTTTCACAATATTCTCCAATTATTGCGTATATGTAACGTAAAATTAATTAACCATGATATTTAAATTGGTTCATAAATATCTTGGATTTAAATGTAATAGATATATAAATATATTAGATCCAAATATATTAGATAAAAGGTACATAAAACAATCTTTGACAATAAATTTATTAATGACAAGCAAATAATGTTTGGTTATATTTGTAGTTAATTTTTATTTACATTTCAAATTTATTGAATTTGTAAATTATTTTATACTAAAATAATAATTATTTATCCTAAAATAAATATTTTATACTAAATTAATAATTATTTATGCTAAAATAATTATAATGTTTCGAAGAATTTTACTAAAATTGTTGAAAATAATTAAATTCTTTCGAGGAATTTCATTAAAATTATATTGAAGATAATTCAATTCTTATAAAAAAATTCTATCAAAACTTTTGAAAATAATTGAAATGTATTGAAAATAATTTCATTCTTACGAATAGTTGAATTGAATTCTTCCAAGAATTTTATTACAATTATTGAAAATAATTAAATTTCTGAGTCTATTTTTATTATTTATACAAAATAATTGAATTTTTGCTAAGAATTTTATTATTATTTTTGAATATAATTGAATTTCTGCGAAGAATTTTGTTATAAATAGAAATAATTGAATTATATCGAATATTTTTATTAAAATAGTATTAAACCTGAATCGTTTTAAAGAATTTTATTAAAATTTTTGTAAATAATTTAATTACTAAACAGAATTCAATTATTTATGAAAATAATTGAATTCATGCGAAGAATTTATTAATATTAATTGAAATTTTTTAAAATTGAATTTCTACGAAGAATTATATTATTAATAAAAATAATTGAATTTTTGTAAAGAATTCTTAAAATTTTTGAAAATAGTTGAATTCCTTCGAAGAATTCTATTATTTATGAAAATAATTGAATTATATCAAAAATTTTTATTCAAATATAGTATTAAAACTTAATCGTTTTAAAGAATTTTATTAAAATTTTTGTAAATAATTTAATTACTAAACAGAATTCAATTATTTATGAAAATAATTGAATTCTTGCGAAGAATTTATTAATATTAATTGAAATTTTTTAATATAATTGAATTTCTACGAAGAATTATATTATTAATAAAAATAATTGAATTTTTGTAAAGAATTCTTCTTAAAATTTTTGAAAATAGTTAAATTCCTTCGAAGAATTCTATTATTTACGAAAATAATTGAATTATTTAAAAAAATTTTATTCAAATATAGTATTAAAATTTAATCGTTTTAAAGAATTTTATTAAAATTTTTGTAAATAATTTAATTACTTAGAAGAATTTATTAAAGTTAATTGAAATTTTTTAATAATTGAATTTCTACGAAGAATTATTTTATTAATAAAAATAATTGAATTTTTGTAAAGAATTCTTCTTAAAATTGTTGAAAATAGTTTAATTCCTTCGAAGAGTTTCACTATTTACGAAAATAATTGAATTATATCGAAAATTTTCTTAAAATAGTATTAAAACTAAATACTTTTAAAAAATTTTATTAAATTTTTTTTAAATAATTAAATTACAAAAAGAAGAATTCTATCATTTATAAAAATAATTGAACTCTTGCGAAGAATTTTATTAAAATTAATAAAAATTTCTGAATATAATTGAATTTCTACAAAGAACTTTTGAAAAAATTGTTAAATAATTGAATTATTTTGAGAAACTTTATTAAAATAAAATAATATTGATAAAAGTGAATCTTTGCGAAGAGTTGCATTAAAATTTTGTACAAAGAAAATGATTGAATTTTTGCGATGAATTTTATTAAAATTTTTAAATAATTGAATTATTTCATAGAATTTCATTAAAATTTTTGAAAATAATAAAGTTGTTTCGAGGAATTTAATTATAAAAATGTATTGAAATAATAACACTGAAAAAAATATTTATTTGATTCAAATAACCGATTAATTGACAATGATCAATTAAATATTTAATTGAATCAAATAATATTTACTGGAGTCAATTAAATTTTTGCGAGGAATTTTATAAAAATGAATTAATATATTTTTAAAAAATAGTATGTTCGAAGAATTCCATCTAAAAATTTGGAAAATAATTGTATTTTTGGAAAATAATAAAAAGTTATTACTATAGGAAGTTAAGAAAAAATCAGGGAAATAAAGAATCCAAATTTTTTATGGTTTTTGTGAATCAACTAAAACGAGTTTTTTTGGTCGTCAGTTTAAGTGACAATCGCAGTGGCAATCAGTTATTTTTGACTGATTCAAATATAAAGAATAATTAATAATTAACAAATTACCATCTTTTTGTGTTAAATAATTAAGAATTATCAAATTCACAATGATCTAATCAAAGTTTTCAATTTGAAGAAGTAAAAATAGAACTTTTTGTTATTTGAAATGAAGAAGGAAAAAAAAAAATTGCGGAACTTGATAGAATTTGATTTATCGACATTTACAACGTTGCATAGTGAAATATTCTATAAAATTGAAGCGTCATGCATGACAACCAACAAAATCTATCACGACGTCCATTAAAATGTCGCATTAACCGTCTAGAATCGATTTGAACGTCTGTGGATAGTGGAGCACTCTCTCTCTCTCTCTGAGATAGAAGGGCATTAATTCGATAACGATTACAATCTTCGATCGTGTCTTCCGGTGGAAACCGATGAAGTTAAGTCAAAAATAAAGTAGGTAATACTCCTCTGTAAGTTTGAATTGACTCGTTGATCGTAAGGGCTATGACCTAATAGAGCTTCAATTACATTAGATGTCTGATCAATTGAAGATTATTCATATATAGCTCTTTGTCAGATGGTTCATTTCCTCTCAAGGCGAACTGGACAATAAAAGAAAAAATATTTGTCTTTCATTTTTTATTTTTTTCTAATTAAAATTACAGTGCGTGTAATGAAAGTCGTTTCTTAATTTTTATTTTCTCTTCTTCAATGTTTTTTAATAATTTTATCATTTTTACTAAAAATATAGTAAATATTAAGCGCTAAACACGGTATTCAATTTGTTATTATTTTACGCATTTATTAAAAATTAAATTTGAAATATTAAGAATTAAAAAATGGACGCAATTACAAATTTTTTTAATTATAAATTTTTATTTTTGAAAATTTCTCTATTTACAAAAATGTAATTTTTAATTGTTTGAATAAAATTTTTCAATTAAATTCAATTTGTATTTTCAAAAATCTTAGTTATTTTCAATAAAATCCTTCGCAACGATTCAATTTTTGTCAATACTATTTTAATAAAAATTCAGTAAATATAATTAAAATATAATTATAAATTTTCAAAATAAAATTCTTCGAAGAAATTCAATTATTTTTCAAAAATTTTAGTTAATTTTAATAAAATCCTTCGCAACGATCCAATTATTTTCAATACTAATATTGTAATATTAACAAAATTATTCTGTAAATAATTAAAATATACATAATTTTCAATTTTTTGAATAAAATTCTTCAGTGAAATTAATTTTTTCGAAAATCTTAGTTAATTATTTTAAAATTTCTCGCAAAAAATCAATTGTTTCTATAAAATAATAGAATTATTTCCAAATTTAATTATTTTCATTATAATTTTAATAAAATTGCTTGAAAGAATTCAATTACAGGGCTCGAACCAGTGAAAGTATTTAAAAATACGGACTTTACGGACCAAAAATGAAAAATTACGGACCATTTACGGACCAATTACTGACAAAAATATATAAGAGAACATTTTACTTAAAACTATAAATTAGATTTTTTCATAACTAAAAAACATGAAGATATCGATAACTCCGAGTCTTCGACTCGGAGCGATCGATTACTTCATGTTTTATAATAATTAAAGATAGAATGATAAAATCATTATCAATTCAATTATTATTTTCAAGAATTTTTAACTAAAATTCTTCTTAAAATCGATTTTTTTAATAATTTTCGAAAAAGTTCTTTGACAATTTTCAAATCCATTTCTTTACAATATTCAATTTTACGAAATTTCAATTATTTTTAAATTCTTCAATTAAATATGTACTAAAAAATAAAAACTTCAAATAATATAAAAAAAAATCCGCAATTAAAATTTCTCAAAAAAATTAATTCCACAGAATTGTTAGTTAAAAATATGAAAAATTCAAATTTTCAAAGATTTGAATCTGAAACCTTTTCAAAATTTAATTATTTTTAAATCAATTTTTATGAGAAAATTCTACGAAAATTTCATTATTTAAATACAAAAAAAAACAATTTATTGAATAATTACATATGTTTCTTAAAATTGAATTCTTTTAAAGAATTGTATCAATCAATTTTCAAATAATTTGAATTCTTTTGCAAAATTTTATTAAAATAGTAGATATTAAAAATAATTAAATTAGGGAAAATTTTTGAAAATAATTAAAATTTTGCCAAGTAATTTATTAAATGTTTTGAAAATAATTCAATTTTAGAGAAGAATTTTATTATTTATAAAGATAATTGATAATTTACGCAAAGAATTGCATTAAAAATTCTGAATGCAATAATATTATTCTTTAAAGAAATTTAATTAAAAATTTATTAAAAATAATATTTAAATTGTAATAAATAAATTGTAGCAAAGGTTATTAAAATAATTAAATTTCTTTGATAAATTTTAATAAAA